GCTGCAGGGAGGGGGGTCTCTGCCCAGCCCCATCTCCACTTTCTGGAGGCTCTTTCTTTAGCCACATTTCCATGCGCCATCTGTCTGTCCACCCTCCTCCTACCTCAGAGGTATTAAGTAAAGGAAGGAGGTGCAGGCCTACATGAAGGAGCCCAGAGAGGGATGGGGCCTTCTTAGGGGTGCACAGCACACTGGTGGCAGGCAGGCCTGGGGTCAGAATGTCCAAGATCCTGCTCATGTTCCCACAAGTTGCTCTTCAAGCCATCAGCATACCTCGGTCCAGAACAGCAGGCCAGGGTCAGGTAGGTCACAAAGAATACAACACTGTGAGAGACAGATGAAGGGTGAGTTAGTGGCCCTCGCCACCCCCCAGGCCTCTCCGTTCAGTCCCTGGCTCATCCTACTCTACACCCCCACAAGGCACCAGGCAGGGTGACAGGGACTGGGGTAAGGCTACAGTCATCCTAGAACTTTGCAATGGGCAGAATGGTGGTTTAATTCTAAAAGAGAGGCAGGGGGATCGAATGAGCCTTCCTCTATAAATACTTGGGTGCCATGGGACACCTGATCACCACCCAATCAATCCACTAGCTTATTACTTCAAAGAGAAAGCTCATATACACCGTTTTCTATGTGCCAGGCAGAGTGCTATGTGCTTTATGAGAATTAAGTAATCTCACATCTTCTCTATGAAATATGCTTTTTTTTGGTTAATCCTCAGGCAAGGATTTTTCCCATTGATTTTCAGAGAGAGGGGAAGGAAAAGGGAAGGGGGAAAGAGAAAGGGAGGAGAGAGAGAGAGAGAGAAACATTGATGTGAGAGAGACACATGGACTTGTTGCCTCCTGCACGTACCGGACTGGGCTGGGATTGAACCTGCAACACAAGTACGTGCCCTTAACTGGGAATTGAAACCTCGACCCTTCGGTGCACGGGCTGATGCTCTGACCACTGAGCCAGGCAGGCCAGGGCAGCATGCTTTTCATTTAGCAGCTGAGGCACAGTGAGGTCAAGTAACTTGTCCAAGGTCATTCAGCTACCACCTGGCAAAGGCAGGATTAGAACCCAGGCCCTCTGACTCCAGAGTCCCAGCTCCATGCTGCCTCCTTCAGGCCCTTCTCAGCCCTGGCACTACCCATAATGACCTTGTTAGGTACTTAATTATTGGTCTACCCTACCAGCAGGGGCAGCAGCAGGGGCAGGGCCCTTGTCTGTCCTGCCAGTGCCTGGCACAAGCAGGAGGTACCTGCGGCATGGATTTCTAGAGCTGGTGGCTATGTCCAGTGGGAGACTGGCAGGAGCTCAGGCACAACCCAGAGACAGGGATTGGGGATTGAGGACTTCCTGGAGTGCAGTGGAAGTGGAGGCCAGTCCAGGAGGTAGGAGAGGCGGAGGACCCAAGGGTAGGGCATGCTCGCACCTACCCAGATTGGAGTCCCCACCAGTGTGTGGTCTCCAGCACCCAGAAGACTCTCAACAAGGCTCCCGCCAACCTTCCCATCTCCCTCCTGGGCTCTCTCACTCATCCCCCACCACAGCAATTCCAACCGTCCTCCCCCAGCCCCAACCCTCTCAGGCCCCCTACTCTGCGTGGTCTGGCCTGGTATGTCCCAGGAAGATTTAAGATGAGGTGGGGCTCCCTTAGCTCCCTGCCTGCCACCCGCAACCATCACATCCTGCGTCTACGTGCCCTTCCTCCTGACCCACCTCCCACCCCAGGCCAATCCCTCTGGCCTGGGTTCTGGGTTCCACGCCCTCAACTGCCCTGCCACCTCTATTACTTAAACCTTTCTACAGCGACCTCTCTGCCCACACAAACCTCCTCAGCTGTTTGTTTTCCACCTTTAATCAAAACCTTCCCTAGTTTTAGCTGCTGCCGCCTTCGCCAACTCACAGCCGAGCTTCTTGGAAAAGTTACTTCTACTCCCTGTCTTCTTCTCCATCTCCCAATTACTCCCCAGCCCCAAACCCACCCCCAGCCTCACTGGATGACAGCTGGCTTTGCCACAAAACTATGACTTGGTTGAGTCCAACTGACACTCATCAGTCTACCTCTTCCCTGACTTCTCCACAGCCTCTGCTCTCTTCGTCGTTTCCCTGGTTCCACCATGATCCACACTGGTTCCCTTCCACCTCCCTGGCCGCTCCTCAGTCTCCTTCAGAGTATCTCTAACC